TTAAAAATTGTGGGCATGCATATGATGGAATCATTTGGAATTTAACTTCGTTACTTTCATGTTTGTGGCAGTGTGAAGGCCACGGACATGCAAAATGAATCTGGTTATCAAAGAGAGGTTCTTTTAACCCAAGGTAACCAAAGCAGTGAAGGTTTTGCAAGGCGGAAGAGGATTTACGAAAGGCTTATAGATACTAACAACATACAAATGCTTGAAGAGAAGAGAGATTTATTTTTCCTTCTCTCTTTCATAGTCCACAATACTAGACCTGTCGGTCACCAGGTAGCTCATGAATTTAAGGGGTTATATTATAGTTTCTTGTAAATTATATACAGTTTTAAATCTTTCACTTAACACCTTGTTTATATTATTGCAGGATCTTGTTGGCTTGGTCATATCAATGATACTTTTAGGGGATTTTAGCTTAGTGTTGCTTACGCTCCTTCTGTTGTATTCAATTTCGTTGTTGGATGTCTTTCTGGCGTTGTTTATTTTACCTCTTGGCATTCTTCTTCCCTTTCCTGCTGGCATAAATGCTTTATTCAGTCATGGACCGAGGCATTCTGCAGGTCTTGCACGTGTATGCTTTGTGGAACATAACATCCTTGGTTAATGTGGTAAGTTTCTCTAGCGTTTGATATCTAATTCCCTCTGTAAACATACTTTTGTTCAGGTCACAGTTCCAATGACTGAATATTTGGTAATCATATCATCTTTCAACAGGTTGTTGCATTTCTTTGTGGGTATATTCACTATAAGAGTCGGTCGTCATCAAGTAAACGGAGCCCAAACCTTCAGCCATGGAATATTAACATGTAAGTTGATGTTCTTACTAAGTAAACTGTTTCATAATACCATATCCTTGCTTAACATGAGGCGCGGTTTCGGATGCAGAGATGAAAGTGAATTGTGGATTTTCCCAGCAGGACTGGTTTTATGCAAGCTTTTCCATTCACAACTCATAAATTGGCATGTTGCGAATCTAGAGATTCAAGACCGTTCATTGTATAGTAATGATTTTGACCTATTTTGGCAGTCATGAGACATCACCCTGTATGAAGAGATGCATACATACACGTTAACAAGGTTCTTTTGTTCCGTTATTTTTGATGTCCTATTTTGATTGTAATTTGAGAGTAACAAGTAGAAACAGAAATAAAGGAGAGAACAAAAAGAGATTATTAGGGTGAGAAGGGTCAGTATTCATTTATGTAAGTTGTCAAATTTTCCCCTTTAATTTTGGGAGTTCCAATGCTAATAACGAATTGGGTTGTTTTATATGTAATTTGGTGCGTTTTTATCTGATTATATTTTGTAATAACATGTAGGTATACATCTGAGGGAAAAAGAATAAATCAGAAATAGCTACTATTTCAATGTAAGTTTGAAAAACACTTCAAAATGGCTTTAAAATGGCAGGAATTACAGAGATAGAAGTTTATCTTAGGCCAACAGTGACAATTGGTTTATCTTATATCACTTCATTTGTATTCAAATGATGGTACTGGAGGAGCATCAAAGGCTCTCCAAAACTTCCGTCTTACTTTCATTATCTGCGCCTGATTCTGGCTTCTTTCCCTTCAGCAAAAAGTTACCCAAATCATGAAGATGATGATGACGATCCCTGCCTGGAACTGCCGATTGGTATGGCAAAGCCACTCACATGCGGTGCTGGCTTGACTGAACAATTTATTCAACGTGATCTTGGCACCTTCGATGAAAGCAAGTGGAACCCCACCAAACAATGCTGATCTCGAAGAAGCACCAAATACTTAATGCATTGGAAGAGCACTAGCTATAAACGAGCTCCGTGGATCTTTTTTTCTGTTGAACATAAACCATGGAGCAATCAAAGGTGCAAAATAGTCCACGCCAAATAGCGAAACTACCAACATGATGAGGGGTATTCCTCCGAGGAACCACTAGGGGAGTTGTCTGCAAAATTCACCAGTAAAAAGAAATTTTCTCAAAATTCCAGCATTCAATACAAACCAACAATAATGACTGATCAAGCAAAAGAATGTGTAATTGACCAGTCAATTTAAGCTAACATAAAGTAAAAAGGTTAAGAAAATGTAAGCAAACAACCTGCAGTCAGGCCACTGAATAGATCATATATGGCAAGTGAGGGTTCTTCATAGCTATCATAGACACTGAAACTCACTTTCCTTCCTATTGGGATCCCTTCCATATCGATTTTTACAAACCACTGAGTTCTGAGATATTTTGGTCCCCATTCATCTTCATTTTCGTTTGATGATTCAGGAACTGGTTTTGACAAGCTGTTGACTGCAAGATTAATACTAAATGACCGAATTGGAGGCCGTCCAACAACTGGGAAATATGCAATTCCGATCATTTTAAGGCAGTCTGACAGGATCAGATTAGAATAGAAAATTAAAAGGTTTCTTTTTTAGTTTCAAAAGTTAACACATGACAACCTTAATTTGAGATCAATGAGTTTTGGAATAATGAAGCCTTTGAATGCCGAGATACCTTTATTGTTTTTTGTTATTTCAGTTTTGTATTGAAAATCTCTCTTCCTTTCAAGAACTGTATTGTTATTGTTTCCATGGAACTCTCTTGAAGAACAAAGCCTCAACTCCAACTTCATGTCATCTGAAACTTCATGGTTAATTACAAGTCATTCTTTATTCATAGGATGTTTGGATATCTCTCTAGCTGTTGCAGAAAGAAACTATGTTTTGATTCTTTTAGTTCGCCAGAGGCAAAGGGTAGTGAAAATTATTACTCGATTAACATCGGGGGGGGGGGGGACTTGAAAGTGTGGGTCAGCATTATTAGCAAACAACCAAGGGTTTTGCATAGAGATGTGTAATTGTGGGGGTGGGGCCCTAATATCCCACTTATTCAGATATGACATCTTCAGTTTGGAGATATCCTTTTGGACTTTGGTTTTTGCTTTATCAATTTGCCGTCTCTTGGAAAGACATTAGCAGCAGCAGTAAACCAAATCTGTCTCGATTACAATTTCTACAGCTATTACTTCCTTTTGAGTAGTTGACTGATTTGGATGAGAATTTTCCATATAGGAAAAAAATGGAAAATTCATGTTTGAGCGAAGATTCTTCTCTACAATTCTAGTATTGAGCATTTCTAGTTTCTAATATTTAGCCGAAAAAGAAGAGAAGGAAAGGTGAAAGACAGTAACATAAAGTTGAATCAAATTCTTCAATGGTTCCTGCACAGGCATTCTCTATCATTTTCAATTTTGCATAAGTTGTTTTTTCATTTAACAGTTTAGGAACTCCCGTGGGATCCCTGATTTGACAATTGTTTCTCAGGTACAGAACTGGGATGTTGCTAGGCAGCAAGAAAGCGCATTGAAAGTTGCTGGTGTGACAGATATATCCAAAGACGAGTCTCGAATCCCTCAAACTTGCTCTCTCAAGGGTGGATATCAATGCTATCAGATTCTTCAAGAGCTGTTTCTTTCTGGGAAGCCTACTTACTCTATTATGCACTTATAGCCCCACTTTAGGTTGAACCGGCAAAGTTGTTAGAAGTGTTATATAACCATAAAAATACATTGTTTGTTAAACGAGAGCGATCCACACATCACAACATTTTCGAATGTCATTCCAACCTTGTATTCCTTCCATTGTTCCGAAAATAATCCTCCCAATTCTGTTTTTCACACGTTCTGTCCCAGGGGAGAGACCAATCAATCAACTACGGTGCGGTGCTTATACCTTAGAGATTGAAAGGAGGATCCAGGTGTGTTTTTAATCAGATACGCTCATCACTGCTCTGGGGTGAGCATTACTAACTTGCTCTTTTAAAAATCAAACCAATGGTGAAAAAACGTGAATTATGAGCATCGGATATGGCAATACTCATCTTCCTACTTTCTTTTGCTAAGAGAGGGTTCGATTGTCCAATTCTAGGCCGACCGATCAGATATTTGGACGCACGATTCTTACTTTAGATTATCATCCGATTACAATGTTGGACTTGTCCGGGTGGGTTGGGCTTAGTGATAAAAATGAGAATTTCAGGCTACTTTGTTCACCCGAGCTCTTCCTATATGCATGCACTACAGGCAGCATATATTCCTCAAATGTCCAGTACTTTAAAGGCGTACTGAAACACCTATTGTAACTATGTTCAGTTACCAAAGATGTGATGTATTTATATGCAGGTCCTAACAGAAAATTTGCCTTGTAGCCTTCTCGAGCAATGAATATCTTAAATCTCCACAATCTAGATAATCTAGGAAAGGGGAATGTGATTATATAAATCTCTGGTAAATGCCAAGTCAGATAAAGTTAGAGATAAGTGCATAAAATGCTAGAAAAAGCATGACGTGCTTACCCAATGAACAGACGGTTAAAAATTTCTACTAGTAATCAGCCTGAAAATATATCGCAAATATAAAGAGAAACACCATATGCAAAAAAAAATGGAGTCGAGTAGGCCTACCAGTAATAACCAAAATCATGCATCAAGTCAACCATTGAAAGGTCCTTACCAAATTAGGTATTAATTGTTCCTGGCAAATCCACTCAAGGGCCCTCTGCTAATGATACAGAACCACCTCATAGGCTCACATTTTGGAGCCTTGAATTCTGAAGTACAACATTGAGGTATAACAGTAGTAAACCATTAATTAGATTAAAAACTGCATGACCAGACTACCTTAGAAAACAAGTGCAAATTCACAATCGTTGGTTTCAGAAGCTAGTGGAGTGCAAAAAGTCGGTACATTGAAATATCACAACTTATATCAGTCAAATGCATATACACCTATACCATGCACTGAATTGAGACAAATGCATCAAATCGCTACTCGGGAGAAGAAAAAATGGAATGAAAACAAATATTGAAAACAATAGTAATTGTACCTTGTGTGCTCCAACCATCCACAAGATAATACAAATGGATCATGTGCTGCCAACCCTGGATTAGCTTTTAGGGAAATGAAAACATAAGTTTCAACCATAGAACAAGTTGATAATGATATCCCGTTACACACTGTTACTGCAAAATATACAAAATAAGTAACATTTTCTCTTCTTTAGGGTCAAATCAGGCATCCATGGAATGGGTGAAAGATCATAATGATCTTTTAGTCCAGAAAACAAGGCTAGACACTAGACATAGTACAGATTAAATGACTTGCCACTAAAGGGTCCAGCATAAATTGCCGTTGCATAATCCTCACACCAACAATAATTAAAACTTTAACCTGTGCACTTGCCTTCAACCAAGAAATTATGATTTCAAAACTATACAAATAATATCTGTTGTGCATCGAATGGGACAAAAGATCTAAAGTTAGCTCATTGAGATTTCGACCTAATTGAATGACAGTGCACAGGTTTTTTAATAGATGCTAGATGATGGTGCCAAAAAGTACAATTTTGCACACATCAACTCCCAAATGCTGTGATCAATCCATCTGACTAAAGATCTTAGTTCCCTAAAAGTGAAGCTGTAGATCTGTCCCTTGTTGTACAAATGCACAAGAAAACAAAATCAGTGGCATCTGAACAGAACCTTGCCAGTTCATGAAACTGTTCGACCATAACAAACTGATGCAATATAGAGATTCCTTGCCCATTTCTCCTGGAGAGAAAACAACATTATGTAAACATTTAAAACTTCTTTGGAAAGAAAGGATGACATAAGCTATTGATTGAAGTTGAATAAATACCTTTACATGAGTGCTAGGAAAAGCAGAAGTTCGAAGGGTCTCCTGAGTTTCATCTGTAGGTTTTCTTCTAGGAACACTAAGAACAAAAGCAGCTTGATCACAAGTTGCCGCAGTTGAAGTGATGCGGTAGCCACCATCCCACCTCCGATGAATACCTTCACTAGGATAGAGAAAATCTAACTCTACAACCTGCAAACATACCAAGGGCTTTGGTTTAGGCTGTAAGCTTTTCATTTCAAAAAAAAGGCAACAGTTGATGTTGAAATTAAAGAAAACCTGGTCAGAAAATGGAGCACCATGCGACATAACAATTGCCCATCTGCTTCCAGCAGTGGCCATGGCAGTCACATAAAAACCCTCTCTCCATTTTTTGTTGATCCATTTAAAGGGAAATGAATCACTGACTTTGTAGGATTGCTGCAAATACTGGGTCCCTGAATTCAATACAGGGTTAGGAATAAGTCAATCAAGATATAAAAATTGTAATTTCTTTTAAGATAACTTCAGGGATAGCTAAACTAACCCTTGGACATTACAACTAATGAACTCCCATTATTCGCTCCTGCAATAGCGCTGATGTAGTAATTCTTTTCCCATTGCTCCATAATCCATTCCTTCATAAAGTAAAATAAAGAAAGAAAAAAAAAGTACATTAATATTTGTGCTTGACCACAAATTATGAGCTATTTACAACAACACTGGACCCACATGAAAGTGCAAATTTCAAATTAGATGACAGCTAACTTGAAATATGTAATATAGCAGACATGCAAAAGACAAAGGCATCAAATTCAAAAGGAACACAATCAACCTTGTGAAGGAAGTATGGTGAGAGTTGATAAACTTGAGAAGTGAAGCCAGTGCCAGCATCCATGATAAGAGCCCATAAGTTCGAACAAGAAGCCACACTGCTAATAAATAACCCATCTTCATTACCTTTCTCAATATGTTGGGGAAGCCTCACATCTGCCACATTGTAATGATATCTACAATAGGAGATAGAAATTATCAACATCCATTCTTAGTCATGAACTTGAAAAGCTTGATGGTGATTTTAAGATACATACCTTTGTTTCATGGGCCTACGAGCATTGTACACACTAATCCATTGCGTTGCAGGCATTCCCATTCGAACCTTCTTCTTTGGCTGCTCATCCTCTTCCTCCTCCATGGTTAATCTCCCTCTCTTTTGTCCTACTTGATATATAAGCTTCAAGAAAAAAGAATATATAATGTTAAATTGAATTCCAAAGAAGAAAAATATAATCTGAACTCTCGATACGTTAAATAAGCTTGACACAAGAAGCAAAAAGCACCTTCTGAGCACCATCAGTATTTATTGGCCTAATATCTGGATTCGGACCAACAATCCCATCAAAAAGAGAGATATATTTTGCATAATTTGGCTCCTCATCAAATTTCAAATTCACCACGTACTCAACAAACTGTCTGAAAGGTAAAGGGCAAAAGCAACACAAAGTTTCTGGGGAAGTGGCCATCTTCTTCTTACAAACAAGGAAACCTTTGTTTTCACCCTAAAATAACACTTGCATCAGAAAGGTAATAGATAACGAATAAGAACATACCAAAATTTATATTACAGAAATGCAAACCTGATATCCTTGCCAGGGTAAACGACCACGGAGGAGAAAAATAAGTGTGTAGGCCAGAGACTCTAGATCATCTCTCCTGCTACCGGTTCTACCAAGATGAGCATGCACACTAGCATACCGTACAGTTCCCCTGCAGTATAGGAAAAACTAAAAACAGATAAGCATAACCTTACAAATAGAAAAAGGAAATGAAACCCCAAGCTTATAAGATAGATAAGCAAATCTAATTTCTGCACCACACACAGGAACAGAAAAGCATGCAAAGGTAGTGAATATCACCTAAAAACATCTGGACGTTGATCATATTCAACATGCTGACCACTTGAACTATCTCGCCACCTGGTTGCTGTCAAGTCAAAATAGAAAAAGAACTAATAAAAAAATTGTATGCATACAAAACATATTTTAAAATAAGAAATCTTCAGCTTACCTAATCCTAGGTCAACAAGAAAAAGTTTTTTCTTATCTGGAGTCCCGGGAGTACCAAGCAAGAAATTCTCAGGTTTCATGTCACCATGAACATACCTGCAAAGTATAGACACATCAGCATTACAGCAACAAATGCATTCCATGACAAAAATACACACTTATGTAGCAGCAAGAATCATAATCCTTTCCACCCAAAACCAATTATGAACAGTTGGACAGCCCAATCCTTTGATAGATCGCCAAATACCAACATTTTATCAATCCAAGCACATTAACTTTCTTAACAACACTTGTCCACCAAAAGGAAAGTAAATCATAGGTAAAATAGAAAGTATCACCCTCTGGAGTGCATCTTCTCTAAAATTGAGATGGCTTCAATGGCAATACATGCAACCATTTCAATGGACATCCTGAAATTGAAAATTTAGTGCTACCCTTAAATGGCTAATCTGAGGAAAAATTAAAAAAATCCAATATGTAACTTCACAAAGTACATACGTGTGCGAGTTATTATTCCAAACATCCCATAAGCTAGGTCCAAGCATATCCATAACCTGTTAAAAACATTCCAACCAACATATCAGAGTCAAACTCTAAAACCTGATACATATGTTTCACAAAACTTAGACTGCATTAAACCAAACACATACCATAACATAGTAGTCACCTTGCCGACCCTTATAATGAACTCGAGGCACACCATGGGTACCGCCAAGTACACTGCACAAAAAGCAATTTAAGCCACAATTAAAATCTTAAACACCACACGGCCTACTTTATGAGGCTATGAACAAATCTAAGAACCAATCATAAAATGAAATTATAGGAATCTTACTTGTAAACTTGCCACTCATACGGCGGCCCATAATTACATCCTTTGCTGCTTCTGTGTTCAAATTTTAAAGCTACCTACAATTCAAACATAACAAGTTTTGATTAATGAGGAATGAACTATTAGAGTATGAAACAGAATCGACTGTAAAAATAATCTGGAACCTCTAAAGCTCCTGGACCAGTGCCAATTCGCCGACCAACATATACTTGTCCAAAGCCTCCTTTCCCCAGTTTTCTTTCTAATCTATACATTGGGGAACCACCTACCTGAACCTGTTGCAACAAAAAAAAAAGAATAAGAATCCATTTTTCAGAGTTTCAGTCTAATATAATGACATTACAAATTGAAAAATATCAGTCCCAACTCCCAACATTATATGCTCTTTCTTCATAATGATACTTGTGTTCAATGAAGCCTAGTACTAAGACAAATTATATAAAGCCAAAACTTGTTTTAAAACGCCAATGTTAACCAAGTTTGTAGCGGCGAACAATACAATAGTCCAAAGAACACAAAACCAAAAACGCACAAGAAAGAGGGGAAAACTCAAATAATTAATAAATAAATATCCCTAATCAAAACTTTTTTCTCTCCCTTGTATTGATTCCTTGATAACAAAGGTAAAAAATACAACTTGAAGCAAAAATTAGAAGAAAAAATAGAATCATACCAAAATAAATTAAAATAATTTCAGAAACTAAAGAATACCTTCTCAGGAAGTGGAGCTGTGCTTCCTTCATCATCCGCAACAGGGGCCTTATCACGGCTACGACCGCCACTATCGTATTCATCCATCTTCTTTACGGCAACCTCTTATCCGAAAACCCTAAGCTGTTTAATATCCTCGTTTTCCTTTCTTGCAAACGGAAGCTTTTCAACACCAGCACAGCTCACGATGTTATTGTTTTTGTTATCTCTGTCCTTGAACTTGTTGTCATCAACGGCAGCAAGGAAAGCGTATTTATGTCTCCTATCCTGTACGGTTCTCCACGGACGTGTGCGAATAGCACACTCGTTGGTATCGAGTCGGGGGATACAATCAATCAGGTTTGGGTTAATGAATGCCCGATTTCTGCGAGCCTGGCTACGCAGCTCTAGCATCGTAAGTATTACATTCGTCCAAAGGTAGCATGGTGAAGATCCATGAACATTCTCGAATCATCGGCTAATATATTCGGTCTCTGGCATGAGAGATAGGGCTAAACCGCCAAAAACAAATAATAGAGGGAGAGATTTGGGAAATTTTATAAAGAGAGTGATGAAATTAGGGTAGCATGTTCTCTATTTTACAAAGCAATGCTCCATTGGTTCTTTTTTTTCTTTTCTATACGATTAGTTTTCCTAATCCGATGTTTGGAATTTATCAAATATAAATTACCGTGGATTTCGAACTTACTTTTTCATTTATAAAATATAATTATATGTAAATAAGTTATTATCTCATAACCAATTAATAAATTAAATATTAAAAAATAAAAAATTAAGTATCAAATTAAATTATAAATTTTATTTAGCATGTTGTCCAAAATAGTGCTCATATACAATTAAATTAATTGATAAATGTAAATTTAAGATAATAATATAATTTGTACTATACCTCATCACGATCATTTCTAAAAATTATCTCATTATTGTTTTTCTATCTATCCAACGTCATTATCTCCGGATCTTCATTCCTTTCATGTTTTTGGAGATCACTAAAGCCGTCGGAGCTTAGAAGATATATATAGTTTCTCAAGGTATCAAATCTGTTATCTGACAATCAAATTTATTTATCATGACAGCCTCCAAATAGTTATAATGATTTTAGGTCAGAAATTAATACCAAAGATTAATACATAAGTTATCATGTGAGACTCGGTTAAAGAGTATCTCCCTCTCATACTCTTTTTATATCTCAATGATTGTTCATTATCATTTTTAGTTTGTCTCTAAATTATTTCTTCTCTATCGAGCAACGTGATAAAATATGATTCTCTATTTAAATTAAACGTGATGAAATGTCAATAATAGTGTCAACTCAATTTTCTCATCGATAATTTTAAAATAAAACTTACTGTATATCTTTTGTATTAAATATTAAGTAAATTATAATTCATTTGTTATTTTCACAACTTTAATAAAAAAAAGTTATAGGATGGTTAATTGATGGAATGTATTTAAAAACTAAATTAATCGCTATATTAGAGTGGTTTCTTATTCTTTAATTAAATTTTATTGTTTAAACGGTAAACAAATAATTTTTAATCCAAATCTGTTTAATTTTTATTATTATGATTCTCCATTTAAAAACAAACAAACAAACATGATCCCCACATTTAACAAAGCAAAAAATAAAATATTCAAAATTTTTAATGTAATTACTCAAATTTAAATATTTTAATAAGGATAATATTTTCCTTTTATTAAGAACAATCAGTAGATTCATTTTTATCTTTTACTTAATTTATCTTAATAATGTAAAACCAAAACCAAAATTAAAATAATAACAATAATATAATAGGATGATGATGCCACGTTAGAAGAGCACAAATAAATACCGCTAATGATGAACACTATTAAATTAATTTATAAAAACGTTAAATTATAAAACATTAAAAATATAATTATAAACTAGTTAAAAATCTAAATGTAATTTAATTAAAATATAATATTTACAAAACATTAGTTTTTAGGGTAAACTATGTCATTTACCATCTAACTATTTACCTATTTTACTTTAACCACCGATTTTTCAATTTTATCAATCGGGTCACCTAACTATTTAAATCTTATCAATCAAGCCACATGCCGTTAAATATTAACGGAGGAGATGACGTGACAGCTAATAAAATTTGTATAATTATACATTTAGTCCTCATTAATTACACATTATATTAATTTGGTTCGAACTTTTATTTAATTCAATATATTTAATCTTTAATTCGACAGTGACACGTGTCACTGTGTGATTGGATGATTTTTAATCATTTTTATTTAATAAATTTTTATCCAATCAAAAGGTGTCACATGTAACCAGTTGAATAAATGGAAAATAAATTGAATCAATAACCGCTGGTGGGATGCAAGCCAAAAAACTTAGCACCCTAACCACTAAGCTGGACCATTAAATTTGTCTAGTATACAGAACATAATCAGTATAATTTATAGGTTTAAATATGCAAAAGGTACCCAACCAATGACCATTTTTTCAATTTAGTGCTTAACGTTTATTTTATTACAGTTTGGTAATGTTTTATTCCGTTACTCAAAATGGGTCAAGTCGTGATAGACTGTTAATTTTATTCATTAAGTGACATGTGTCACAATCTCGTAATTTTAAATTTTATTTTTTTAAATATTAAAAATATTATTATATTTATAAAAAAATCCTTATTTCTTTTAAATTACAAAAAAAAACACTCAAAATTCCTAAAATCCCCAAATATTAACACTAACCCACTGTCACCGCCCTTTCTGGCCACGACCACCACCGTTGACGTAGTCCTTGTCGTCATCCTAGTTATAAGTCATTGTAGTTGTCGTCGATTGGTCGTCGAATCGCTTGGGATTGCGATTTTTATCATAGGATTTGCGAGGTATAAAACGTCGGTTCATCGTCGATCGACTGTTAATTAATCACGATTTCATAGGGGTTTTGGTCGTCATGGGGTGAGGTCGGGTGGAGCTTCGTCGACGGAAAAAGGCGATAGTCGGTGTGGGTTTAGGGGTTGAAATGAAGGTTTTTCAAAGTTTTGAGGTTATTTTGAATTTTATGTGTTTTATTTTTTTAAAAAATATATAATTTTATTTTCTAATTTTATATACAAATTTTAAATTATCAAACTGAAAAAACGAGCATATGTTGGGCACCTTTTGTAAATTTGAGCCTAATTTATAATATAGGTAATGCTAATAATTGACCTTATAAGGACTCAAACATGAAATAATTGAATAGTATGAAAATATAAAATATATATAAACAAATATTATAATTTATTAATAAATGAATATGTTTTATTTATATTTTAAATCACATTTAATGCAAAAATCAAAATAAACGTGAATTTAATATGTTATAATTGAAATGTATCATGTTACATATTTTAAATTAATAAATGTATCATATCTTATATTTTAAAATATTATAACGTCGATCAAATTCTAATATTATTTAACAACTCTATATTAAAATAGACAATTCAATAAAATCAAGTTTCCCCTAAAATTTTCTTCAAATATATAATGAATAAATAATAAAATATAAAATTCTTTCTCTAACCGGGATATAAACAAGACAATGCATAAGTTAAAATGCTTACTACGATAAGCCTTCAACTATCAGGAAAATTCTAAGTCAACGAAGTTGTTCTTTATATTTCAATTGTAATATATTAAATTTATTTATATTTTTAATTTTTTATTAAAATGATTCAAAATATAAATAAAATACATTCAAATATTAATCAATTATATATATATATATATATATATATTATCGTATTATTTAATTATTCCATGTTGGAGTTCTTAGTAGGTCATTTTCCCCTTTTTTTATTGTCATATATATTATGTCATGATAGATTTATCAATTGAATGGTGCAATCCAGTGGTTGAGGCGTTTGCTTTCTCTTCTCACGTCATCATTGGTTATTAACTAAATTTATTTTATATTCATTCAATTGGTGACACCTGACACTATTTGATTTGATGAAAAATTTATTAAATTAAATAAAAAAATTAAGAAAAAACATCCAATCATATTGGGACACACGTCACCATCGGACTGATGATTAAATCTATTGAATTAATTAAAAGTTAGGACCAAATTAATAGAATATACAAATAACGAGGACTAAATATGTAATTATATAAATTTTATTAACTATCACATCATATCCTCGCATGTGACTTGATTGAAAAGTTTATATAGTTAGGTGAATCTATTGACAAAATTAAAAAATTGATGGTTAAAGTAAAATAGATAAATAATTAGGTGGTCAATAGTATATTTTACCCTAAAAACTAATGTTTCATAAATTTTACCCAATGCATAACATGTACTTGTTCGATTGTTTTGACATATCCAACTAAAATAAAGGGAAGAAGAGCTATAAATAATATCATTAAAAAACTATGAAAATTTGAGACTAATGTAAAAATTAAAATATAAAAATGATTAAATAGCACTGTTATGGACAAAAATTACATTATATATTATCACTTATATTTTTTTTGACGTATATATAGAGATTAAAAGAAAAAAACCAAAATTATAATGAAATTCATAAATTAAACACATAATTAGAATATTTTCTTACAATTAACCAATAAAAAAAATAATTAATTACTCGAGATCATAGAAGGACTATAAAAGGAAAATGTTAAAACTTATCTAAAAAAACTCGAAGAAAATATAGATACAAACAAATCTGATCGATTCGGCAAACAAACCACAATAGGAGATTAAACTACTAAAAGATCACAAATCAAAACCAAGCGTCGTAAAAAACTATTTATGAACGTAAATTGTATATCTAAGTCTAATCTAAAAGTCCAAAGCATGGATGATCAATATAATAATAAAAAACGTCATCATGATCAGTCGTGATGACATCAAATTTAACTCTAAAAAAATTAAAGAAAAGAAAAAATATCAAACAATCAATAAAAAATAAAAGCATACTAATAAATAAAAGAAAAACATATCATAAAGACATATAAAAACGTATGATAAAAATATAATTATTGAAAATTAATAAAAATTCAAAAAAAAGTAAAAATATAATATAAAAATAAAAATAAATAAGAAATATACGTAACCAACCACCAACATTAAAGATAATATAGAGAACAAAAAGTGGGTTTTAGGGCAAGCGGCGAGTAATGCTTTATCTGATACAAAAGCATATTAAGATAAACAAATCATGAATTATCACTTTTGTAATTAAAACATCATTATCAATATATATAAGGGAAACGTGATGAAAGAAGTTATTGTAAATTCTTTTGAGTTACTTGGAGTTCACGGCATTGCATGCGATGGGAAGACACGTGGCAAGATGTTGAACGATTTTTATGATAAAGGTGCCGCCTCACTGATTTTTATTACCAATCAAATACATTGGAACTTGAAAACGAATTACATTATTATTTTTAATAATTTTAGATATAAGTATATGTATTTTTTAAATTTTTTAAATTATTGTTATTAAATAGTTAAGAATTTTTAAAATAAATATTAATGATAATCACTTTAAATTAATCAAAAAAATTACATAAATATATATATTAAAGAAATTAAAATTAGTAATTTGATATAATCTCATTCAAATATTTCTTTAGAGTAATCTATTAAAAATATCTTATAACCAAAGGATTATTTAAATAATTTATCCATATTTTATGTGTTATGCAGAGGTCGAAGGTTATTAGCTTGGAAAAACCATTCAATAATTGTCTGCAATTTTGGTGATTTTATTTTGGGATAAAACTATTTAGGAAAAAAAAAGAAAAAAAGTATTATATATTTAATTAAAATTTATATATGATTATAATATTTATTCAGTTAAAAAATAGTTTTGTTTGGTTTTCATCAAATGATTTAATTTATTAATTAGAAAAATGAGAATTAACGTTGCATTTAAACTTTAAGATAAAACTGACATCGACGGCGGAAATATGTCCAAGTATGTAAAGTTGATGCTGCCACCTTACAAATGATGGATTCCTCCACCATTCAAGTTGCTTTCCGCCGCAGCTTCTTTTTTAGCGCCTTTTTCCATTTCATTCTCACGAAAGGACAAATGAAGCAAAATTCACAACCTAAATGGGAGGCCAAGATTCCGGCAAAGCTAACAGGAGCTTCTCCGGATCAAGTATGGGTAATTTACACTGATTTTTTCAACTTCCACAAATGGTTTCCGACTTTAGCTTCATGCTACGGCGTTCACGGCGCCAACGGCGAGCTCGGTTGCATCAGATTCTGCTCGGGTTTCTCGATCTCGTCCCGCGGTGGCGGCGGCTCCGAGAAGTGGTCGAAGGAGAGACTAATAGCCATCGATCATAGCAACCGTAGCTTAAGCTATGAGATAATGGAAAACAATATTGGGTTCAGTTCGTATGTTTCGACGGTGAAGATTGTTCCGGGGGACGTTGATGATGGAGATGGATGTGTGATCGAGTGGTCCTTCACCGTTGATCCCGTGGAGGGATGGCAATTAGATGACATGAAGAAACTGTACGAGAAGGGCCTAGAGGGATTGGCCAGGAGAATTGAAGATACTTATAACTTGTAAAAGTTCTATTTTAAGGTCTGGACTGTTTCGTTTACCACTTCACCTCTTCTATATAAACTAATACAATGTTCTTGTTTAACTCTCAATTTTTTTAACTTAAATTCATTGAACTCGACCTTACAGAAAAACAGTTTCCTTATTGTTCATTTCCAACACTGTGTAGCTGAACAAAAATCTCTGCCTCCTTTTGCCTGTCTTTGTGTCCCATTATTCATATTTTAACACGTGCTATTTTTGTTTATATTGGCAAAATCTCATTTACTAGTTTACTTCATCTTTCATTTTTAAACTCATTAGATACAATTCTCCACCCCGTTAATCGAAGATGAAGAGTTGTCAAATTTTCGGTTCGATCTGTGATGCATCCTCTACAATTGGAAGGAAAATTCTGATGAGCAAATTTTGATTAATTTAATATTTATATATGATTTTTTTTGGAATAAAGGTCAATCGGTGAATAAAAAATTGCAAGTTCTAAGAAAAATAAACCAGAAAACTGGGACAAATCAATAACAAAACTAAAGAAATGAAAAGGTGAAGACACCAAAATAAAACGTCTCCTAATTTTTCATGAGCTGAAGATTTGCAGATCAATAATATTGGGACTTGAGACGAACATTTGGAAAACAAGGGAAAAATATACAAGTGAAGATACACCAACCACCATATCCTCAGAACGGGCTAGGCTGTTTTCTTGGGCAATCCTGTTGGTAAAAAGCAACGTGCTAGAATGGGTGTTTTCTTACCTTGCAATATTCCTGTTGAATCTCGCAAGAAGACAAGTGCATACCCATTTCCTTTCTCTTAAACGTATTTATCCTTTGATTTTTTTTCCAGATTTGATCACTTGTTTTAATCTTTGTTATTTTGCTTCCAGCTATAGTGGTCCAGACCCTGAATCTGAGAATTTCTCGTCAAAAAATATTAGTGCTGGGGCACAGAAAAGGCACAAGAAATGAGTAGAGGATTTCTGTTCGTTCTACCTGCATCCCTTTCCAATAAGTTGCTCGATTTCTTCAAAATGTTTCCTCTCATTTTCCTCCATTGTCGTCGTCTCCTCTATCATCAAACCACCGTCTACCCTCATATCTTGCCAAATCCCTCTCTTTACACGTTCTCTCGAAATAATGGCAGGATGCTCAACAGAGGGTAACCATTTTTTGCCCTACTTTAATTTTTCTATATTTTATTTGTCCAATAATTTGATTTTTAAAAAATAAATAAATATTTTTTCTATTACGTGTCACTTTGTGATTTTCTCTCTCAAAATTATCACGTTAATCATCTGGACAGAAAAATGAATGAGAACTATTAAGAGTTAAAAGCAAAAAGAAAAAAATTGTTTATAAGTGAAAATTAACGGATGACTTACCTAATAGACTTATTTTTGAAGTTTGTCTAAAAATAAAAGATGAATTGATTATATCATAGGATCAAAATATGTTAAATTAAGATGTAATTATTAGATTTTAAAAGAATGAATATTTTTTCTTCCAAAAGTTATTAAGCTTATTTAAATTGGTGTTTAAAACTTATATTAATATTTAATATTTAATAATTGATATTTAATTTATTGCAATTAGATAACATATTTTATAGATCAATTATGATATGATTATTCTAATAATTTTTTATTTATAATATTAGAATCTAAATTCTTAATTTTATTTAAAAAAAAATTAGTATCTTATCCCATTGAATCAATTGATAATTAATTAATAATTTTTTTATAAAATTAATTATCTAAAATATTTAAAATTAAAACATATCAATTTTTTCTTATAAAAGAAAAGATTATGAGTTGATGAAAAAATTAAATTAAACTATAATAAATGAAAATTATTCTTTGATTCAAAAGTACTGATAAACTAAATAGTTGTCTAATAAATAAATTTATCATTTTTTATTGATCAGTATCTAACTTATTGATCAACTATTTTAGATCGTATTTTGCATAGATACATTATGAGAACGATTCTCTCAATTAAATTATTTTTTTCACAAACGTCAAGAATCAAATTTCTAAACTTACTTAAAATATATAGTATTTCATGCAACTAAAGTTGATAATAAATCTTATTAATAATACTTTAACTCAGGAACAAAGCTATGCTTCGCCTTGGGCCACTGCCCCCCACTTTTTTCATTAATGAAAAAATTATGGGTAAATTTAAAATCAAAACTCCTAATTTTAATTTATTTCGATTTTACCCATTAGTTTTATAATAATTATATTTTACCCCTTCATTATTTATGATTAATTATATTTTATCCCTTCATTATTTATGATTAATTATATTTTATCCTTCTAATCGTAGCTGTGTCCATGCTTTAACTCTCAAAGTCGAGAGATTCTTATGTAGATCTTGTCAGTTGTCACTTATGTGGTGAGCACGATGGTAACGTGCAAGTCGAGCAAATCTAAAATATCGTACACTTCAATACTAACCACATTAAAAAAAGATAAGGCTGATATGTTAATCTTACATATAATGCAACTTAATTTCCATATTAGCATATAAAACGTCCCTCCACTTGCGTACTACACCACCGCATCTTCATTTCTCTCTCAAATGGCTGATGAAACAAAATCGAGATGGGAAGGAAAGGTCACGGCGGAGCTAAAAGCCTCAACGGCAGATGAGATATGGCCGTTCATAGCTGAATTCTGCAACTTGGACAAGTTTTTCCCCACGGTTGATACGTGTTATCGAAAGGAAGGGACTCCTGGTCAGCCCGGTCTGGTCCGTTACTGTGAAGGCAAGAGCGGGTGGGTCAACGAGAAGCTTTTAACCATCGATCCGATCAATCACTCGCTAAGCTACGAGATCCTGGAAAATAACATGGGGTTCAAAAACTACGTCGCCACTTTCAAATTGTTGCCGGTGGAAGGCAATGGTTGCAAGATCGAGTGGTCATTTATTTCCGATCCGATCGAAGGGTTGAGATTGGAAGATTTGGTTTCTCTTATTGATGATACTCTGCAATTCATGGGAAAGAAAATGGAAGAGGCTGCACTTGGTCAAAGCTAGACGTTGATTTAGCTGTGTTTTTATCAGTTTATGTTTTGTTTATTGCTTCCAAATTAAACTTGTACCACTGGGTCTCGTCTGGTTTCCATGTGCCAAAACCTTGGATGTTGGATTATCTATTTTATTTATGAAATATTTTCTTAATAATAGTCATACGATAGTGTTGAATATAATAATATTTCATACAAAAAAGTGGGTTTAATCGTAAATGTAGTGATTTCATCTTTTCATATAAAACAATTATCATATTCACATATCAACATTTTTTTTTGGTTTTAATATGTAGTGGATTTGGACTGACGGTCTACATTAATCAATAAAAGAACTGAAATGTACTAGATTAAAGTACAAAGATGAGGCTGATTTGGTAATCCTGCATATAGTGCAGCTTCATTACTATATTATTTTTTAGTATATAAAACTGCTCGCTTTGCATGGTATGTCAATGCATCTCATTTTCTTCATCTCTCTCGCTCAATTATCAAATGGATGAAGAAACAGTTTCAAAATGAGAAGGCCATGGAATGCCCAATAATAATAATAAAAATACTATTTTATACAGGTCTCAATAAAAAAAGAAAACAGCATTGTATGTAAGATTTATTATCAGAAGACTCCTAAAAAGAAAAATGAACACACAGATAACCGAACACTAAATTTCATACAATACAAAAGTATATAATTATAAACACGTATCAACCAATCGCCAAATGCATCGATTGAAATAAAAGCAAAATGAACAAGCAATGATGCAAAGGAAAAAGAACAGGTTCTCCTGAATTCTAAAGAGTAGATAAGATTAGAGCTGAAGGAATCTCATATATTGACATAATTGAATCTTGTAATAATCAAATATTATGCACCAACCTTTCCTCATGGGCAAGCCCTTGGAAAATACGCTGCTTCTATGGTTTCTTTTTATCTCCCAACTTTGCATCTTGGTGAGAAGCAGCTGAATTTCATCACCAACATTCCCACTATACTACACAAGATTAGGGCCACAAATTTAGGCATTTGCAGCCAACCAGGCATGGCATGCTAAGCAATCCTTGTCAGGGCCTATCTCGGAAAATATATGGAATTACAATAACATTATTGCTGGAACTCACTGTTGCACAAGATGCAGCCTTCGTTGGTTTGCTATATACACCAAACCCAAGATTGTTAAAGTTTCTTGGGTAGATTGTATGTCTTTTTTAGGAACTTCGAAGCTGTCTCATCATTCCGGTAACATAACACGCGTAGAAGAGTGTTTAGCTCAGTAGGATTCCACTGCCCGGATGTTGGAGGTAGTGGAAACCTAGATTTTGCAGAAGAGCCGTATGTCTCCAAGTTCACGCATCTGAACCGCTCAATTAAGGTATCTGTATCGGTTCCAAAGAGGGGAAGTACTCCTCTTGCAGTAGCTGAAAACTTATCTATGAGGTCGGCAGGCAAACCATCTCCATTGGCCCAAAACAGATCTTTAAGGGCTTTGAAATCATCCTCTATAATTTGAGAATCCTGACGAGTGAAAGCACGAGAGGGGCCTCCAGCAAGTAAAACCAGCAAGAACCCATCACATGAAGCTTTCATGATATCAGTTATGATCCTAGTACGAACTCTTTCATGCACAATGTCAGAGATGATCAACAAGTTTCGCTCTAGTTCCTCTAATAGAGGGTCAATCCTAGAAGATGATGGCTCCCCGATATACAAACCATCCCATAAAACATGACTTAGGTCATGGAATACGATTTTGTAAGCTACTGCCTCAGATAATTGCTGAACCCCTTCCACACAAGCAGCTGGTGTTAGTTCAAATTTCTTATTCAAACCATTAGAAAAATCTTCCACATGAGCAGACTCACAGTTCCTCAAGTGGGTTATGATCCTCTTTTCTAGAACATCCATCTCAGATTTGATACGGTGCAATGTATTTATACGAACACACAGCTGTGGCACCCCAAATGAATTATCTCCATTCATTGTTGTAACCTGAGAATTTCTCTTCTTAGAGTTTTGTAATTTTTCTTTCTTCTTCCACACACCTTGGAACTTTGATCCTATCTCACATCTAGTCAATGCAGGCATTGTGGGGATATATGTAGTATGTGAACCTACATGTCAGATTAAAAGGTAAAATGTCAGAAACTCTAAAAACCTTAGCTTCCTTATTGAGATCATTTATTATATTTGCAAGCACATACCACAGCCAGATTTTGCCTTGATTACGTAATACTGAAGACATTTGTCAAGGCCAACCATCAAATCACGTAGCAATGCAGGATGTGTTGGTATTGGTAGCTGGAAAAATGCATCCAAAGTCTCATCAATGATTCTCAAAATTTCAACAGCAGAGGGGGCATATCCTTCTTGATTTGCTTGTGGACTCCAGACCTAGTGTCATGCAATGTGTTGTTTAGAAAAAATAATAATAAATAAAATCATATTTTAGCAAACCTGAACCAGCAATTCAGTAGATACTAGATAGCTACTCAATTGCATGGCCAAACAAATTTCAAAAGGAACTGAGATTTGAGTGATATGAATTTCAGATTAAAATTTTCATAAAAATGACAAGAATAGTAAGCGCATACCTCTTGTTGCAAATTCCGGTCAACCCATTCCTTAAGTCTGTCAACTCTTGTCTTGATCCACCCTTTAACAAGATTGCCTATAGCAGTTTCAGCCTCATAAGGAGGCATCTCGCGGATTATCGCCTTCCCACCATCATCACTGTCTACTGCATCCTCAACTGCAATCTGCACGAGATCCTTCTCCAGTTTATCTGCAGCTCTTAGTACTTGAACAGCATCGGGGGTCAACTCCGTAATGCCAGATATAAACTGTTTTATCTCATTTGCATAACAAGCATGGAGGGTGGCCACAGCTACACCTGCGGCCAGAGGATGCCAACCCTTCAATATTGGACTGAAAACCTGCTTCTCATGAGCAGCTAGCTCACCAACATCCTTAGCAAGGATTGCAAGGACAGGAAGAGGATTCAACTGGTTTCTGGAAGCTCTCCTGCTAGAGTCTGTTTTCTCCATTCTCTATATAACAATTAAAAACATACGCATAGTCATTAAACCAACTAAAAGGAGAACTAGGAGGAGAGAGAGTATTCAAACACATCTTACATTTATTACATTCCAAGTCTCATACATCTAAGAAATTTGTACATATGCATGACAATTCAGACACTATATATATAGCAAAAGAACTCATTTTTTCCTCATAGCATCAACAAAAGGGCCAATAGAAGATAATAAAGACTTGCCTGAGCAAAAGCAGTGCGCAATGAAGACCTTATGTAAGTGTCAATTCTACTTCGAGCTACATCAACTTCTCCTTTTCTCTTTCTGCGATACTCAGTGGATACATCCTCAACCAAAATCTTAGCCGCTGATATTCCTAAAGAAATGATTCCCTGCATGGTATAGATATTTCCACTATCAAAAGTGTCATGATAAGCAAGGAGTCGTTTCTCTGCCCAGCCCAGTATTGAAGTCAATGTAGAACTTAAAATCTTGGAGTAATCTGGATCTTTGGTTGCCTTGGAATCTTTTGCTACATCCACTAGCTGACTATCAGCAGCATATAGTAAGTCCATTTCGACTTGCCCAGTGGCAACAAAACGGTGAAACAGAGCCCATGCAAAGCAGAGGTTGTGGAGCATTTGGTTAATCCCAAGGATCACCCATGTCTTTTTTATATGCTCCATAAGCTCATCAACTTCCTCAATAATAGATGTCTCATCACTAATATCGAAGCATGTTTCCAAAAGGATTTCATAGAGTCTAAGATTCAGTGGAATACCATCAGCCCAGTGGCATGAATCAGAAAGAGATCCATCAGATCTGGAAGCAAGAGACATAACAGCAGTGCGAAGAACTTGCATCGACTCATTGTTCTTTCCCGTTTCTATTGACCTATCTAGGGCTGCATGGATGATTTGCCGTAGCCTTTGTGATGCTTTATTTGACTTATCAAGTGTCACTCGAGGATGTAATAGTAAACCAGCTTCAAGAACCTTGAGGTTTCTTCTCTGCCATTCAACATATTCTTGCTGATCAGTAAAATCTGATTGCTTAAGCTGCTGTAATAGCTCCAATGGAAGAACCACTGACTCGATCCGCCTTCCAACCTATCATTTCACCGTAGTCAATGCTAATGAACAAATAGCTGGTACGATAAATCAATTAAGCACCAATAAGATTATAAGTAAGAATCATAAAGTTCATCAAAGCCCTACTATTTCTCGTCTTAAATTAGATAAACTTAATGAGTTCCGCAAAACATTGGAGAATTTACATTATCACACCATCATTCGAGATTAAATTATAGAATCAAATTTGCTTGGAACGTAAATCACAACTATTTTTCAAAATCTTACCATTGGATTAGGATCCAATCGCATCTACTTTAATATTATTAAAAATAACTAAAATTGATTTGCTCACAATAAGTATTATTTAGATCTAACAAATCGTAATTGAAAACATTCGGATCAACCAAAATTCCATTTCCTTAAAAAATAACAATAAGTTAAATTGAGCTGACCAGGCCACCGCCGATTCTCAGAAGTGATCTTCTAACTCGCGAATCGATGGTCTCAGGTATCCGCATTTGAATCCTCATAAGCTCCCCTACGGTCATAGGCCGCATAGACTTACCCTGTCCCGAGCCTGGCCCGGGCCCCGGACTCTTCTTCGAGCCCGATGAAGAGCCCGGGGACTTCAATCCTAAAGCCTTCTTCATCTTACTAGCAGCCGCTGATGTAAGCGAGCGCTGCAACGCGGGCGAGTGGTTGTAGTTTTCACTAGGCGAGTTGAGACTCGGGGAATCGGAACTGAAGGAGGTGGAAGTGGATAGAGGTTTGGAGGAGGAGGTACGGCATACAGCGAGGAAGACATCGTAAGCAGTGAGCCTAAGGTCTGAATCAGTGAGTTGAGAGGCGAGTTGGCCGAATGGAGATTGGAGATCTGTCGAGGTGAGCTTGCTAGGCATTGGTTGAGGCTTAGT